GTGTGTGTGTGTGTGTGTGTGTGTGTGTGTGTGTGTGTGTGTGTGTGTGTGTGTGTGTGTGTGTGTGTGTGTGTGTGTGTGTGTTGGGGGAGAGAAAAACATTCAGTATCCAGATCACAGTAGCCAGATCACATTGGTGTGGAGACCTCAAACTGGGTGAAAGAGGGAATGGACATCCTGCCTAATGCACAGACCAAGGAGCTGTAACGAGGGCTCCTGGGGTGGGAGGTGTCTCAGGCAGTAACATAATGTGGACAACATTGTAGCAGATTGTTTCTGAGACTGTCCCCCTTCCGGACCACCCCTCCTCCCATGAGCAACCCCACTACAGCCTCATGGTAACGTCAGCAATTGACAACATAGAAAAAGCAGCCTCAGGGAGGTCGGTCTGGGTTTCTAATGGGCTGCAATACGTTAATGCTTTGTGTCGTTTTTAGGAAGAGTTACTCACAGTGGCTTCTTTTAGTCTCCACACCCTCTCTCCCTCCCGCCAGTCCTGTCCCTCTCTGCTTCCCTGCACAGGCTGAGCTGCTGCTGGGGTTCCCTTTGCCCCCTGAAAGGCAGTTCAGGCTGATCTTCCCCATTTCCCCATGTCTGGTACTTGGTTTTGCTGCTGGGTGAGGGGTATTTCTCTGTAGCATGGCTGGAAGTTGTGGGGGTGGGGTACATATATGGAGAGTGGCCAGAACTGGGGGTTCTGGGCAGGGAGCAGGATGTATATCAGCTGGCGGGCAGAACGGGCAATTACGGTGGCGGGGAGCAGGTAGTACACAGACAAGCAGGCAGTGTTGGGGGTTCTGGTTGCGTGGAGGGAGGTGTACACAGAGAAGCAGGCAGCACTCAGGGCAGTGAGGACAGGCAGGGGGTGTACAGTGACCGGCAAACAGAGCTCGGGATTCTGGGGTGGGGAGAGGCATGTTCACAGACAGGCGGGCAGCACTGAAGGTTATGGGCATGGGGAGCAGGGTTTACAGGGACAGCTGGGCAGCAACGCTGACATTGAATTTTTCTTTGTGATTGATGGTCTAAGGCCAGGGCTAGGATCTTACCTGGCCCTGAGTGTGTTTGGGGGCACCTCAGGCAGGGGTGGCTCTAGCTTTTTTGCCGTCACAAGCACAGCAGGCAGGCCGCCTTCAGCGGCGTGTCTGCAGGAGGTCCCCGGTCCCGCGGATTCGACAACTAATTCGTCCAAGCCAGGGTTTTCTCAGACCAGGTCTTAAAAACCTCTAAGGATGGAGATTCTACCACCTCCCTAGGCAACCCATTCTAGTGCTCCACCACCCTCCTAGTGAAATAAAGTTTCCTAATATCCAACCTAGACCTCCCACTGCAATTTGAGACTATTGCTCCTTGTTCTGTCATCTGCCACCACTGAGAACAGCCGAGCTCCATCCTCATTGGAACCCCCATCAGGTAGTTGAAGGCTGCTATCTAATTCCCCCTCACTCTTCTCTTCTGCAGACGAAACAAGCCCAGTTCCCTCAGCCTCGCCTCATAAGTCATCTGCCCCATCCCCCTGATGATTTTCATTGCCCTTCAATGGACTCTCTCCAATTTTCCACATCCTTCCTGTAGTGGGGGGCCCAACGCAATACTACAGATGTGGCCTCACCTGTGCCGAATCGAGGGAGAAATCACTGTGCTCGATCTGTGGGCAATGCGTCTACTAAGGCAGTCCAATATGTCATTAGCCTTCTTTGACACAAGGGCACACTGCTGATTCATATCCAGCTTCTTATCCACTGTAATCCCCAGGTGCTTTTCTGCAGAACTGCTGCTTAGCCAGTGGGTCCCCAGCTGAATATTGTCAATGTATCTGCATTTGAAATGCAGTTCCACCTGGGGAACACCCACTTGGCAAGAAGCTTTCAGTCTAAGGAGCTAGTTGGGAAGGGCCCATTGAGGGCAATGAGCTAGTAAGTAAAACAATTGGCCTGAGGAAAAACTCATCTCAGTCTTCCTTAGAACGCTGCAGACAGCCTTTAAATAATGGATACTATCACTCTACCAGGGCATTTGACCAGGCCACATAAATTAGGACTACACCTTGCGGAGTCTGTATTTTCCCACTAACTGGTTTGGGAACCAAGTTTTGAAACAAAGGGTTCCTGCCATATGCTATAGCTTTATAAGGCTGGGAGTGACATCATCGGTGGTTCTTCACTCCTCACACAAGAGGATTGCTGGAAACACCTGAGGAACAAAGACTGAATTGGGGAAAGTGCTGGACCCAGGCTAACGGGATTTCTAGTCTGTGTATGGAAACCTCAGAAACCTGAGCTGCAAGTCAAATGCAGTTTCTGCCTTGAGAATCTGCCAGATGGCTTGTGAGAACCTGCTATTTCATGGTCAATCTAGCTAGTGTGTTAAACTTAGTTTGCCTTATTCCTGATTTGCTAGGTCATCTTCTTTGATCTGTTTGCTATCCAATATAATCACTTATATTCTATCTATTTTATGTTTTAATCTAAACCTAGTATCCCTTTAACTTAGGTGTCTGGGGGAAATATCTCAGCTTGGTTACCACAAGTGTGCATTTTCCTCCCCACATTGAAGGAACTGGGTAACAAATTCATACTGGTCAGAGTATGTACTAGGGCAGGACGGTCCAGCTCTGAGGTCCTAGCCTGGGAACCTGGGGGTTATATTGGCTATAGCCTTTCTATTGTTGGTTCATGCAGTGGCTGGTCATCCCCTGCAGGTAACTGCAGCTGGGTGTGTCCCTGCCTGTGTGAATGCTCTCACTGTTTAAACAATGTACACCTTATTTCCAGTCATAATTGCTTTAACTTCAATTTACAGCCATTGAATCGGGCTATGCTAAGCTGAAAAGCTTATTATATGTTTCTTTCCCGTGTTGGAACTTATAAAGTGTTATCAAAAGTCATCCCAAAACCAAACTTGTTAAACTAAATGGATTGAAATCTTTGAGTCTATCACTATAAGGCAGGTTGTTTTCTAATCTTTTAATAATTCTCGTGACTCTTCTCTGAACCCTCTTCAATAGATCAGCATCGATCGTTAATTGTGGACAAAAGAACTTGACAAAGGGTCCAGGAGCAGTTGCACCAGAGGCAAATACAAAGGTAAAATAACTTCTCCACGTCTCCTTGAGATTCCCCTAGTTATCATCCAAGGATCACATTGGCCTCTTCTGGCCACACTGGGAGCTCATGTTTAGCTAATTATCCCTTCACGCCCCCAAAAGTTTGTTCAGAGTCATTGCACTTTCCATGAGAGTCCCCCATCGTGTAAGCATCACAACCATTCTTTGTTCCTAGATGAAGATATCTACATAGGTATATTAGAACACATATTGTTTGCTTTGACCCAGTTTATCAACCAATCTGAACTGTGACCTGTCCTCTTCATTATTTACAATCCCCCAATTTTAGTGTCATCTGTAAACTTCATCAATATTCAGGCATGAGATAGGTTAGCAGCTGAATTGCTGACACAAGTCTCTGCTTACACTTGTCAGTTAAAACCTGTAACTTATGCCTCAGACAAAGCTGGGTGTCTGCAAGAAAGTGTGTCACCAAAAGAAACAAGGGGAGTAACAGAGGTGAAGGCCTGTATGCTGAATACCAATACCCTTGTGTCATTTGTGCCCATTCCCTTGAGCACAAAGTCTTAGCACAACATGATTATGTTTGTTTCCATGGGAAAAATTGGGCTCTTTCTAACATAGGAATTGCATCGTGGATCAGACCTATGCTCTATCTAGTTCAGTGTCCTCTCTCTTACATGGACAACCTCAGGTCATGCAGAAGAAGGTGTAAGAAACTCAACAGTAGATGTATGGGTGTGTGTGACCTGATCACCTAGAAGGTGTCGCCCTAATGCTTGACAGCTAGACATTGGCTTGTGCCCTGAAACACTTTGGTGTCTAGGATTTCCAAAATATTTATTTACCTGTAACTATTGTAACTGGATAGTCTCACTACCCATGTAAATATCCAAACCTTTACTGAATCTTTCTTAGTTCACGGCCTCAACTACCTCTTGTTCCTCAGACTAATTAGGCATTGAGTGAAGAAAGCATTCTTTTTTTTATCTGCTTTGAATATGTCACATTTCAGTTTAATTGAGTGTCATCTTGATCTTGTGTTATGAAACAGGAAGAACACATTCTCAATCAACTCTTTACCAGTCAGTATTTTATAGACTTTTCTCATGTCCCCTCTTATTCATCCCCTTTGTAAGGTAACAATCCCAGTCTTTTCAACCTCTCTCCGTATGAGAGTTTCCCCAGGGCCATTATTATTCTCATTGCCCTTGCCTGAACCCCTCTAGTTCTGCAATATTCTTTGTGAGAGGGGTGCTCACTACTACACAGAGGAGTCCAGAGGATGATGAAACATTGTTGGACTGATATTATGGCAGTGTATTATCTTTATGATTTTCCATCCCACTCCTCCTGGATCCCAAATGTTTTGCGTAGTCTCTGTCCATGCTTGAACTGTAAGCAGGGTTTCCCGGAGGTGTGTATCAGGATGCCCTGCTCCCTGTCCTGAGTTCATGCAATTAAATTAGAACCTTCCCAGGTGTTTTCTGACTTCAAGCATTTCCCTCCAATGGGAATACACATTGCTGTTATTGACATTGAAGTTTCTATGCCATCATGCTGCCCATTCACCTGGCTTGGTTAGCTCCCTCTGAGGACTTCTCTGGACTCGACTATGACCAAAATAATCTGGTGTCATCTGTAAATGTTGCCACCTTACTACTCACCCCCTTTCTAGAGGAATAATAACTATAAACTCTTTACCTTGCTATTTGCTATAAAGTGTGTAAACCCACTCAATGTGCTTCTCTCCCTGCACAGGCACCTTGAGCATTTCTTAGCCCTACTGATGCATCAACAACCTCATGGCAGCTTTCAACCTCACCCCCTCTGACCCTTCAACCTTCATGCTAATGGGAATCCCTGGCCTGGAAGCTGCTCACGTCTGGATTTCCATCTGTTTTTCTACGTTCTACATTATCAGCCTGTTGGGAAATTTCACAGTTCTGTTTGTTGTAGGGAAAGAGGAGACCCTGCACAAGCCGATGTTCCTGCTGATCTGCATGCTGGCACTCACAGACATTTGCTCATCTACCTCCATCATGCCAAAGGCACTGTGTATATTTTGGTTCAATTTAAAAGGCATTACGGTGGGTGGCTGCCTCACCCAGATGTTCTTCATTCACACAGTTTCTGTTATGCACTCAGCCATCCTTGTGACAATGGCCTTCGATCGCTATATTGCCATATGCAATCCTCTCAGATATGCCACCATCCTCACCAACGCACGAATAGCTAATCTAGGGCTAGTATGTTTGATAAGAGCTGTTCTCTTCATTTTGCCCTTGCCCTTGAACTTGATCAGGCAGCCATTCTGTACCAACCGCATTATCCCCCATACATACTGCGACCACATGTCTGTGGTGAAGATATCGTGTGGGGACACCACGGTTGACAGGACGTATTCCTTGGTGATTACATTTGTAGTCACTGGGTTAGACCTAACGCTCATTGCCCTGTCTTATGGTCTGATTGTCAGGGCCGTCGCCAGAATCTCCTCCAAGACAGCCCACCAGAAAGCCCTCAACACCTGCACAGCCCACATCTGTGTGATGCTGACAACTTATACTCCCTTCCTCTTCACCTCTCTGACATACCAATTCGGTCAGGGCATTGCTCCCCATGTTCACATCATCTTGGCCAACCTCTACTTCCTCGTCCCTACCATGCTCAACCCTATCATTTATGGGGTCAAAACCAAAGAGCTTCGTGACAAAGTGAGCAAATATACCAGCAGAAGGTGATCAGCGGGGGACACTGACTTTAAACCTGTATGATGAGAGGGAAAAACGATATCTCCTGCTTAATGAAGGGTGCTCTGTAGCAGTTTGACAGAGCTCAGCATTGTGGAAGTTCACAGTCTGTGAAGTTCACTCCATCACCAAGCACTGCAGGCTGGCCTCTGGGTAAAGGGAGTAGAGTGGGGCCTTAGACACTTTACTAGCCAATTCCCCTGAGGTAGTGCAGAAGGAAAGTTCGCTACAATAGTTCCCCACTAACACATGGGAACTGGGAGAAATACATGGGCTGGATTTAAGTGATGTGTAAATATAAGTGTAACTTGTGAAATCTTCATATAAATGATTAAAGGTGAAATGGGTAACTTTGGGGAGCACACGTTCTGCGTAAGGTGACTATAACATTACTGCATGAGACAGGTATGATATTAACCTTTTTCCTGTACTATTTTATTATGGGGTTAGAGCAGTAAACATGACCTTCTTTTATTTGGCCTCTTGAACATATTTCATAACAAATTAAACTTGGACAAGCCAGCTTCCTCTCAGATTCAGTAGTTAGACACAATGAAGGCACCCACAGAACTGATTCTCCTGAGCAAAAATGCCGACGAATTTACAAGCGTTTAGCATTAAAGAAATTAATGGAAAACTAGTTTTATTTTTTATCATTTATCTTACAAGGCATGCTTTATATTTAAGAACATGATTATATGAAAATGAGGAATATGGGGGTTATAGTACGCTCTCCCAAGGATTGTAGCAGTTTTCAAACAGCATTTAACATTTATAGAATATTTCTTTGGAGCAAATATCAGGGGAAAGGTTATGATCTGCTCAAAGTAATTTCCTATCCATATATGTGTATCATTAATGCATATGAAGTGATGAGATTTGTGTTGTACAGTGGGGTCACTAAAGCATGCTGTAAGTTGGGAAATCTGCCAAATATTAGCGCCCACCTGAGGCAACAGCAGGGAAAGTAACCAACACCCAGACAGGGTGTCAAAAAAACCATCAACAGCCATTGTCCAGCAAGGGAGTCACAATGTAATAATTCACCTGCATGAGGCCACACCAGAGGAATTGCTCATCTTGTTTGGAGAGATTCAGGAATGCCCCCCAGACTGCCATGCCTGAACTTGTGCTACCCAAGCACATGGACTGAGAGTATAAAACAAACAGTGTGGACACATACTGGGCCCTTCTCCTGTCCACACCTATCGTCCAAGCAACCAAGACACCGAGAAGAAGACAAGACTCCAACACAGGAGATTGGCCCAGGTTTAAGGAACAAACCTGTGCATTAAGGCCTGCGATATCCAGTGGGGTGAGAAAAAACTGCTTCATCTAGTTGCTGCCCAGTCTAAGACGGTTTAGAGTTTAGACTGCGTGCTTAGATTTTATTTCATTTTCGTAACCACTCACTTGTAATGCTTTGATATATAATCATATAAATTCAATCTTTATAGTTAATAAATCTGTTTGTTTGTTCCACTTGAAGCAGTGCGTTTGGTTTGAAGCGTGTCAGAAACTCCCCTTGGGATAACAAGACTGGTACATATTAATTTCTTTGTTAAATTGACAAACTCATATAAGCTTCCAGCGTCCAGCGGGCATAACTGGACTCTGAAAGACGGAGGTTCATAGGGTGTGTCTGGGACCGAAGATATTGGCTAGTGTCATTCGGTTGCAAGTAGCTGGGAGCAGCTGCCATGTCAGCGGCTGTGTGTCAACAGCCCCTGGAGTGGGGGTTCTCACAGCAGTTCAGGGTAAGGCTGGCTCCCAGAGTCAAGGATTGGAGTGACCTAGCAGATCACCGGTCCGGATAACATCAGAGGGGAACGTCACACACAGATCTATACAAAGCAGCAGTGTTACTTCCCAGAGGCACTGAACTTGTAGCTAATTTAAAATTGAGTTCAAAGAAGCCAAATGTTCAGCAAGTAAATTATCAGAAAATGGGGCTGACAAATCAAGTCTGAAGAGAAGTGTTTGAGAAAGGCAAAAAGGCAGAAGAGCAGCTCATTTTGGGGCAGACCAGGGAGGAGAGGAGACCAGCTACTGGCAGCTCCAGGGGACCTGAGCTGAGGGACGCAGAATCATCCCCTGAGCAACTGCCTAAAGGTCCCTCCCTGAGGGAAGGGAGGGCCTACTGTAGGTAGGGTGACCAGATGTCCTGATTTTATAGGGACAGTCCTGATATTTAGGGCTTTTTCTTATATAGGCATCTATTAACCCGCGCCCCCATCCCAATTTTTCACACTTGCTGTGTGGTCATCCCAAGAGGGACGCATTCATCTTGAAACTAGGATTTAAACTAGGCTGGCCGGGGGCTGAACACCTAAGCCCAGAGGTAAGTGGGGAAGTGGAATACTGGGAGGAAAAACAAGGAGGAGTGTACAACAGGGGAGGACTAACGATTTATACTGAGAAAGTAGAGCAATCCGTTAGTTATCTTAGGTGTATGTACACAAAGCAAGAAGCCTGGGAAACAAGCAGGAATAATTGGAAGTCCTGGAACAGTCAAAGCACTATGCTGTGATTTGGAATAACAGAGATATGGTGGGGTAGCTCACATGACTGGAGCGATGTCATGAATGGGTATAAACTCTTGAGGAAGGACAGGCAGGGAAGGAAAGGTGGAGGAGTTGAACTGTATGTAAGAGAGCGGTATGATTGCTCAGAGCTCCAGTATGAAACTGGATAAAAACCCGTTGAGAGTCTTTGGGTTAAGTTTAGAAATGAGAGGAAAAAGGGTGATGCTGTCATCGGTGTGTGCTATAGATCACCGGACTAGGAGGATGAGGTAGACAAAACTTTCTTCTGAGAATTAACTGAAGTTTGCAGAACACAGGCCATGCCTCTAATGGGGGACTTTAATCCCCCTGACATCTGCTGGGAGAGCAATAGATAAGTGCACAGACAAGCCAGGAAGTTTTTGGATTGTTGATGACAATTTCTTGGTGAAACTACTGGAGGAACCAACCAGGGGCTGTTCTCCTCTTGACCTGCTGCTTTCAAACAGGGAAGAATTGGTAGGGGAAGTAGAAGTGGGTGGCAACCTGGGCAGCAGTGACCATGAGATGTTTGAGTTCACGATCCTCACAAAAGGAAGAAAGGAGAGTTTAGCAACATACGGACCCTGGACTTCAGAAAAACAGACTTTGACTCCCTTAGGAAACTGATGAGCAGGATCCCCTGGGAGGCTAATCTGAAGGGGAAAGAGTCCAGGAAAGGTGGCTGTTTTTTAAAGAAGCCTTACTGAGGGCGCAGGAACAAACCATCCTGATGTGCAGAAAGAATAGTAAATGTTGCCGGCGACCAGCTTGGCTTAACAGTGAAATCTTTGGTGAGTTTAAACACAAAAAGGAAGGTTACAAGAGGTGGAAACTTGGTCAGATGACTAGGAAGAAGTATAGAAATATTGCTCGAGAATGCAGGGGTGTAATGAGGAAGGCCAAAACACAACTGAAGTTGCAGCTAACCATGAGAAGAGGCAGTTGCTGCCCAAGATGAAAGGCAACGACCTTGCTACATGCACCCACCAGAATGCGCCTTGGGGTGATCAGTCACCCTTCATGCTACCTTACTCCAGATGGAGACCTTGGGACGTTCACAGGGAGGTGTTAGGAAGTGGCCCAGGTAGGGCTACTTTACATAGGTGGTGGGTATAATAAGCCAGGGGAGGCTAAACCTCCTGTGTGGTTCAGCCGCTGCTCTTCCACCTTTGAGAGCACGAACACATGGGCTGTGGTGGCCCTGCCTGCGCTCCGCCCCAGATGCTCCATCCCAATTCTCCCTGTGGCCCCACCCATGTTCCTCCTCTTCCAGTCCCTGCTCTGCTCCTCTGCCAAGGACCGCACTGTTTCTCTCTGAATCCTTCCTTCCTCCTCCAAGAGGCCCCCACAGCCCACCACTCGCCGAGTCTCTCCCCTTTTCCATCCCCCATGGCCACCCAGTAGACATATCATTCACTGGGTCCAGACTCCCTCCTCTCCTTCACTCCCATCCTCCGTGGCCCTCCCACCAAGAGGTCGCTTAGTCCCTTTTCTCCTCTATCCATTCCCCAGTGGCCCCGCAGCTTCTGTTTGATAAGTCCTTCCTCTCTTCCACCCCTTCCCAATGCTTGCTAGTCCTTCCTCTCCTCCATCCTGACCCCCTCACCCCCAAGGCCCCTACTGCCTGCCACTCACCAGTGAAAAACTTGAGCTTACATTTTACAGATCGCTATGCAGTGCAAGACACTATAATTTTGGGTTTATACTCCAGAGGGGGATGTGAGACTGGGGAGCTGGGAAATTGGCTAGTGTCTGCTGTTTGTATTTGGGTGGCTTAGATAAACCCTCGGGTAGCTCAGTTTGAGTGTATGGCACCATCTGCTGTCTTGTGGTTGATAACAGGGCCTAGAGAATGTGAATTACCAGTAAAGCAGAGTGAAAAAGGGCCAGCCCAGCACGGTGGTTAGAGAGGTGCAGAAGTTCCCATAGCTCTGAGACTGCACCCAGGAGTGAAAACCCATCACATTTATACCCTGTGGAGAACAAATTAGGCCCCCAGACATCTGTGACACAAACATATGGAAGGTACTGTAGCTTGAAGAAAAGGTCCAGATGTAGCACTTGTTTGATTCCTTTACCACTGTGTTCTCACCCAGCAGGCCGCAGCTACCGAAAATACCACCAGAGTGAAAAGATCCCAGGGCAACAGATTAGGAAAACTCTGTGGCTGTTCCCTCGTGAAATGTGAGTTACCATGTGACCTGAACTCATTTTGGTCCTGGGAGTGGTGAAGGAATCACACAGTGAGTGGAGAAGTCCCATTTTATTAGGTCTGACGCAGGATAACACAATCCATTGAATTTTCATGCTTACTCAGTGCAGAGAGTAGACAAACTATTAGAACTTTCAGGAGCTGCCAGAAATCCATCCACTTTAGACCTAACAAAGGGACACTGGTAGATACCTTTGATGCCAGAATGCTGGGAGAAGAAAACCTTTTCCACA